GTGTTGCTCTGTTTGGTTGTAGATAGCTGGGGTCCTGTATGCCTCATACATCTGAGTATCTTTACCTTTTGCTAAATTAGGACAATTCTCCTGGATTATTTCTGTGATTAGCTTTTGTAGTTCACTTGTTTGTGTCCCTACTTCTTCTTTTATGTTCTTAATCCTTAAGTTATGGATCCTCTTATCATCTTCTTGTCTTTGTATTATTGCTGTTTGTTTCTTTGTTATTTTTAAGAAGTTTTTCATTTTATTCTCCCATATTACAAATCTGCCCTCCAGTTCAGAGAGTCTGTCCTTAGTTTCTTTCAAGCTGTTATGCCAGTCTTTGATAGACTTCTTAGTATCTTGGTAGTCCCTTTGAACCTGCTTCACGTATTCTATGCTTTCTCTGTTTTCTCCATCAAACAATTCTCCCCTCTTTTTCTGTTCTTCCATTCCACCATCTGTTTTTTCTTGGGTGGTGCTTAGCATTTCTCTAACTATTCTGCATACTTCTAGCTTCAGGTCATTGATAACTTCATTCCTGAATTGGTCTATGAGGCTCTCTATATGGTGCTTTATGTCTATTGGTGCAGTGTCCACTATTGCCTGTTTCTCAGAATTGGGGGCCGAGGAGCCTTTCTTGTTGCTGCCTCTTCCCATATTCCCTGTTCCTTATATATGCAAGCTTATACAAGAGGCCCACTTCTCTCCCAGTCAGCCACAGCTTGATCGAATTGCGCCGTCTAGGTGTTCCCACCCACCGCTGTGCACCAGGGAGTTTTGGACCAGGCAGTCTACACGTCACCCCTCCAGGCCACTGTCAGGCTCTGGGATCTGGGTTGGGCCAGCCTACCGGGTCCGCCGGCAGCGTCACGCAGGCCAGGCACTTTTCACCAATCCCGCCCGAGAGGGGAATGTGTGGCTGGAGTCGCCACTGCGCCCTGCTCCCGCAGGACTGCTCGGGCCCAGAAAGTCCTCCACTGGAGTCAAACTGTGGTAGAGTGTCAGTTTCTCTCACTCACCTCACCACAAGTCAGTGCACGCCTCGCTGCCCTTCCTGTTTTCGACTCTGTTCGCAGATTGCTGTTCTCAGAGCTTCCAGGCGTCTCTCTCCTTGCCAAGCCGAAGTAGAGGCAGCCAGCCGCTGCGCAGCGGGAAACCCAAATCGCGGCTTCCAGTGGTGCGGGGTCCAGCCTCCACACCAAGGCTTTTCTGTTCCTGTTTTAGCACCAGGACTGCATTCCAAGTTGGTTTCTCTCAGCCCAGTTCGTTCCTGAGTCAGCAGAGCATATCTCCACCTGCTTATATCTCCTTAGTCCGCACCATTCCTGGCTTCTGAGCCGAGTCTTTCAGAGAGCCTCCGGTAGCTGCTGTTATCTGTCCGCCATGTTCTCCCGGAAGTTCAAAAATATTCTTATCGGAGTGACAAAAAAGTGTCATTTCTCAGTCATTTGACTAAGATCAATTGTGGAAAGATAAATATATTATCTCTCTACACTGATTCATATTAAAAATTTCAGATATTTCCCCCTGGGCCAATCAAAGTACATACCTTCAAATACTATAAATAGAAGGGTGATAAAAACCAATATTCATTTTACAAAGGACACTGGCTGTGGGGTGGAAGAGGGAGTTGACTAAGGGAAACTCCATGGTCAAGGAGGTTTTTTTGACTTCCAGGAGAATATGGCAGGCAGACAGCAGCAGCCAAGGAGGCTCTCTGAAAGACCCAGCTTAGAATCTAGGAATGGTGCGGAATGAGGAATCCTAAGCAAGAGAGGAGATATGCCCTGCTGACCCAAGAATGAACTGGGCTGAGAGAAACCAACTGGGAACGCAATCCTGGTGCTATAACAGGAACAGATAAAGCCTCAGCGTGGAAGCTGGAGCTCGCACCATTGGAAACCGCGATTTGGGTTTCTTGCCGCCGCGGCTGCGTCTGAATCGGCTCGGCAGGGAGAGACACATGAAAGCTATGAAAACGGGAATCGGTGAACAGTTGACAGCGGAACAGGAACGGGCGGGGAGCCGGGTATCGACCTGCGGTGAATGAGAGAAACTGGGACTCTTCCATGATTTAGGAGGCTCCAACAGAGGACATTCTGGGACCGGGCAGACTTGCTGGAACAGGGCCCTGCAGTAACTTCAGTCGCATATCGCCCTCTCAAGCGGGACTGGTGAGCAGTGCCTAGCTTACATGACGCTGCTGGCTGAGACCCAATAGGCTAGCACAGCCCAGGTCCCAGCACCTGAAGGTGATCTGGAGGGGTGGGCCCGAATAAGCTGCCCAGTTCTTAACTCCCTGGTGCGCTGCAGTGGACAGGAACACCTAGCCAGCGCAATTCAATCAGACTGTGGCCACAGGGAAGGAAGCTGGGCCTCCTATATACGCTTGCATATATATGGAACAAAGAATATGGGAAGAGGGAGCAACAAGAAAGGCTCCTCGGCCCCCAATCCTGAGAAACAGGCAATAGCAGACACTGCACCAATAGACATAAAGTGCTATCTCCAGAGCCTCATAGACGAGTTCAGGAATGAAGTTATTAATGACCTGAAGCTAGACATAAGCAGAATAGTTAGAGAAATGCTAAGCACCACCCAAAAAAAACAGATGGTGGAATGGAAGAACAGAAAAAGAGGGGTAAATTGTTTGATGGAGAAAATAAAGAAAGCATAGAATACATGAAGCAGGTTCAAAGAGATTACCAGGAAACTAAAAACTCTATCGAAAACTGGCATAACAGCTTGAAAGAAACTAAGGATAGATTATCTGAACTGGAGGCCAGATTTGTAATGTGGGAACGGGAAATGAAAAACTTCTTAAAAATAACAAAGAAACAAACAGCAATAATACAAAGACTAGAAGATGATAAGAGGATCTATAGCTTAAGAATTAAGAACATAAAAGAAGAAGTAGGAAACAAACAAATGAACTACAAAAGCTACTTGCAGAAATAATCCAGGAGAATTTTCCTAAATTAGCAAAAGGTAAAGATACTCAGATGTATGAAGCATTCAGGACCCCAGTCACCTACAACCCAAACAGAGCTACACCCAGGCATATAATAATCAAAATTCCAGAAATCCAATATAAGAACAGAATATTAAAAGCTGTCAGAGACAAGAAACAGATGACTTACAAGGGAACACCCATCAGAATTACAGCAGACTTCTCAGCACAAACCATCAAATCATGAAGAGCATGGGGGGAAATAATTCAAGCTTTGAAAGATAATAGCCTCCAGCCAAGATTGATATATCCTGCACAACTGTCCCTGGAAATTGATGGAAAAACAAGGTGCTTCCAGGATAAAGAGGAACTAGGGGAATATGCAACCACCAATTCAACTCTACAGAGAGTATTGCAGGATATTCTAAAAAAAGAAAAATACAAAGAATCCAGAAATAGTGGCGGGGAGGCCACAATGAATGGAGCAGAGAACAAAATGAAGAAGACAAACTGACAGCTACTGACAGAAAAAGAGCTCAACAGAAATGAGGCAGAGAAGAATGGATGATAGGAACAGCTATTTTGGAGAAAATGACATCTTAATAGGTAATACTGATTTAGTATCATCTTGTTTTGAAGTCTCATCTAGCTTTTGTCCTTCTGTCTCCAATGGTCTAAATAGGCTGTATCTTATTGGATTTTATTATGTACGATAGTATAAGCAAAAACCTTTTAAAGACAAGGAGATTATACAGAAACCATTGTTCATTTTCTGTTAGTCAATTCTAAATACTCTGTAATGCTGTCATTCTCTTAAATGGTTTTACATTGTTTTGATATACTTAATGCTACAGTATATGAAGTCCCACTCAAGGATTTCAAGGAAAGAGACAATATGGTAACTACTTTTAGGTTAGGATTATCTGGTGGTGAAACACTATTCTGCTTAAATGGTTATGTTTTGATCTGCGTTGTTTCGTTGTTATGCCCTCTTTTATCTCAATCTCCACTCCGTTATTTACTTTTTTATCTTTATCCTTTTAATTAAAGGGAAAAAAATAGCAGGATGTATTATAGTAACCCACTTTGATTTACTATTAACTTGATTTGAAGCCCTGTATTGCTCTCACCATCTTGTTTTGACTGATGTTCCTCTATTCTGTTTTGCATGATAGTACCAGGTTCAAAAGTTTAGGCAACAGCTGTGAAGATAGTGGGATTCATTATGACGCCCATTCTGGTTGACTATTATTTACTTTTGAAGACCTGTAATGTCTCCAGTGTTTTGGTTTTATTGGTTTCGTTCTTTACTGTTTTGTTCAATTTTATTATAACTAATGATATAGGCAATTCTATTAGAGATAGTGGGAGGCATTATGGTAAACATTGTTGATCACCTTGTATTATGTTTTTACATTATCTATTATGTCCACCCTTTTGATTTGACCAACTCTGTTCTGTTATGTCACATTTGGTTTTACTCTCTTCCAAAAAAAGTAATAAGAACTGTGGGAGCATTAAAACCCAAAATGTGTAATAGTCATTGTACAAAAGAGAGGAAAAGAAAGTGCTCTAAACGATATAACTGCATGTATATTTAAGTGTATAAGATGGACAATGATATTACTGAGTTTTGTTGGATCATTGAACAGAACTGTTCGGTCTCACTGTTTGAATGTCCACTATACAAGCTTTAATTTTGTAACTTGAACAAATATTTCTAAGATGACAATATGTAATCCATTAACTAGTGATTTTCTACTGTTTATTTTTTTTCTGAAATTCTGTATAACTTGTACCCTTTTTCTGCTTTTTTTCTTTTTTCTCCTTAAATAAAATTTTAAAAAAATTTTAAAAAGGAGGTTTTTTAGGAGCCTTGCAAGAATTTAACAACAACAGCCAGGTGTGGCGCACACCTTTACTCCCAGCCCTCAGGAGGCTGAGGCCAGAGAATTGCTGTTCATTCGAGGCCGCCTGGGCTACACAATGAGTTCAGGATCAGCTTGTACTACATAGCAAGATTCTGTCTCACAAAACAAAACAAAAATTTAGCAACAATTAAGTCCTAAACAAAATTAAACCCTGAACTTAAGTAAAAAGTCAGGACAGTGAGAAGGAAAGATTTGTTGAGGTGCTGAGGGGGAGGTGTGTAGACTTTAGTTGTACACAGTGAGTGAATCCACAGTGATGCCCAGGTTCTTCCCAGAGTTACTCCCTGGTGCCTAGTGCTACTTACAGACATAGAGTGAAAGTGAAAAGGGTGTGTGTGTGTGTGTGTGTGTGTGTGTGTGTGTGTGTGTGTCAGAAGCAGTGTGTGTGACTCAGAGATGGTTGGTCCCATTTAGGTAAGTTGTGTTTGAAGCCCTATAAGGACAGCAGGGTGAAGAGGGTCCTGGAAACAAATGCTTGGGGTCTGTGGCTCAGGGAAGGGTCTGGCTGCACAGGGTTTAGAAGTCACCAACACAGAAGTTTATCTAGTTGTGAAAGCGAGGACAGTTAGGGCTGCGGATTCAGTTCAGCAGCACAGCACCTGCCTGGCAAACATGAAGTTCTGTGTTCAATTCCCAATACCAAAAAAAAAAAAAGTGTGTACAAGTGTCTAGGAAGAGAGTGTGGAAGGAGGAGGACACCCAATAATAAAACTCCTAAAGACAAAAACATAAAACAGTGGTAGAAGACAGGCCAGCAAATATGACCTACAAAGAAAGATGGGAGCCAGGGAACGAGAAGATAGGGGCATTGCAGAAGAAAAGGCCCCAGTTTCAAAAAGAACAGTATCAATATGTGTTACTATAGTGACAGTGCATACAAATCTCCCCAGCCCCTGTGGCTTGCAAAAGCAGTCACTTCTCCTCTCCTATGCGCAGGTCACAGAGCCAGGGTCACCAGGGTATGGCACAGGCTGCTTGGCACTGACCTTCTTACATCCCTCCTGGGTCTCTGGATGGAGGAGCTTAGACAGCAGGTTCTCCACGGGGAGCACTAGGGAGCAGGAGGGCACACCCCGCCACATAAGCCACTAGTATTGTCACCATCACCAACACGCTCCCAGCCAAGTCAAGTGTCAGAAGAGCATTTGCCTGCCCTGGATACCACAGAAAGAACCTACCTGGAAACATAATTTTACTACGGGAGAGTGAAGGATTGCAAGCCATGATTCAGTTCCCTGTGAGAACTAAAGTGCTACCCAATGACAACACATCCAGGAAGAAAAGAGCTGTAGAACACCAATTACAAGTCATGAAATTGTTTCGTAAAGAAAACACCAAATGGTACTTTCAATAAGTAATATGATAAATTCAACACAACTTGGTAGTTAAGCACACCAGTCAATCAACAAGGTTTAGCTGCTCTTACTTTGACAGAGTACCGTTTTTAGGATTTTGTTAGTGGATAATTGTAATACATAGTAGTGATGTTTGTCTCGGAAACTGGATGTATGTGGCATGTCTTAACCATTTCCAGTCTGTTTCCTTTCCTATACCGTTCCCCTTCCTCTTGTGCCATCTTATTTCCTAGCATCTCTGTCAGAGTCCCATTAACATTAAAATGTTAAACAAAAAAAAAATACAAAAATATTTCAGGTGCAGAATAACTTCAATTTTGTAAATTCAGAAATTTACAAATGGAAATTGTAAACTGTAGTGGAAGATTTATATCTGGATATAACAAGATTTTAAGTTATATCTTCCTCGCTTTTTACCTCCCACCAAAAGTTCTATGATGACAAATACTCTTATTCATATTCGCACACACCATTCACATCATCATCACTGTCAGTAATAATAAAAGAAACACATTTTAATGCCTTAAGTGAAATCTTTTTAATAACTTAAATAAAACATAAGTAGAGTGAGAATATTTATCTAAAGGAAGAAGAGTAGAAGGAATGTATACAAATTATTCCTAGAGTTTTCACTGAGAAATGAGTTTTTAGATATTCTTTTCTTCTTATTTGTAACTTCCTGCATTTTTCAAAATATTTCTTTCAACTATCATTATCAAAAAATATGAAAAGCAGGAGCTGGGGATTTAGCTCAGCGGCATAAGCGCCTGCCTGGCAAGCAGGCAGCCATGAGTTCGATCCCTGGTACTGATAAAAACGAAAAAGACAAAAAATATATATATATATATAAAGCCTCAATTTACTTTATTTTAATTTTCATGGCACTGAAGATTGAAACCAGGGTCTTTGTACTGAGTTGCATCCCCAATCTGTCTTCCATTTTTTTATTTTGAGAAGGTGTCTAAAAAGCTACCCCGGCTGAGTCTGAAATTGTAATCTTCCTGTCTCAACCTCCCAGAGTGCTGGAATTACAGGTGTGCATCACTGCACTCAGAGTCTCAGATTTTACTTTACCTACAAGTAAACAAGTTAGCCTGCTGGCTTCACAGTGGCAGAAAGCACAACACCTAGAAACAGAGAGCAATTTATTACAGCACAAGCAGCACTCAAAACATCAGTTGTTTGTTAGTTTGCCAATTCCATGAGACCTAATTCCACCAAACAACATGAAAAAGGTCAGGTGATATTGGTATCCACTGAGGTTCATGTTATAGAGGAGGATCTTCAAGCTTGGGAAACTGAATCTGTGTGTGTGTGTGTGTGTGTGTGTGTGTGTGTGTGTGTGTACACACGCATGTGCGCGCACGCCAGGGATTGAATTCACAACCTCACATTTGCCAGGCAGGTGCCTGTGCTGTTGAGCTAAACCTCATGGTCCAAGAAACTGAGTATTTTATAATTATAAATTTACTTTATTATCCTGGGTGGTACTATCCTATTATTGCTACTGAAAGACAAATCATTTGAGTTGGGCATACTAGCACATGTCTGTAGTCCCAGAAATCAGGAAGCTGAAGCCGGTGGATCTCTGAGAGTTGCAGGCCAGGCTGGACTACAAAGTGAGTTCAAGGCCAGCCTATAGTACCTAGTGAGACTCTGACTCAAAAAAGTGAACAACAACAACAAAAATATTAACCAAATAGTGCTTCAAGAGGAAAAAAAGGTTAAAGAGGACAAAAATCATTCTGCTACTAGGAGATAAAAATTCACAATGACTATATAACATTCACAAATATCTATGCTTTCCCTAATCCAAAAAAAATCCAAAAGTAAAAGCTATTAACATAGAGATAAAAAATAACAGAAATGTTCATTGTTAGACTCAATAAATAAAGTAAATAAATCAATTAAAAACAGTAAGTTTCTGAATGTTATAATTTTCATGTATACCTAATTGAATTTTATAGACACAGCTATATCATGGAGAAATTTTTTTATTGAAATCTATTTCACATATAAAGACCCCAGTGACTCAGAGAGAATCTCAGAGGAAGAAAGGTGAATCTGAACTAGTGTGTTCTAGAGAGATCTGGCTGGACTAATTGGGGCTGGAAGCTCTGGTGCATATATTCATCCATCATGGCCCAGAGTCAGATTTTAGCAGCAAAGAGGATTTGATTGCAGACAACCATGACCTGACATTGTGACCTTCAAAGTGAAGTAGATTATGAACATCAATTCTGTAGCAAGCCGGCCACCAACAAGTTCAAGGGTTAGGAGGGACACTGTGTGTAAACTGTCATCCAGTCATGCCAGTGAGTACATCCAATCAATTTCTCCCCCCTCAACTCCCGTCATTCTATTGAGTTCTGACATGCTCTAGCACCAAGAGAGAAGTGCTGAACCCAGATAGTAATGGACAGAAATAAAGACAAAATGAAGTAAAGCCAGCATTCATGTTAAATTGAAGCAGGAGAAACAGTTCACTCAGACTATCGGTGTCCAGAGGACACAAAGAAGAAAGGATACAAAAAAGTGAGCAGCAGTATTTTCTTTCTTCTCTTTCTTTCTTTCTTTCTTTCTTTCTTTCTTTCTTTCTTTCTTTTGTTCGTTCGTTCGTTCGTTTGTTTTGGTATTTTTTGAGACAGGATCTCACTGTGTAGCCCAGACTGGCCTCAAACTCACAGCAATAATCCTGTCTCAGCCCCCCAAATGCTGAGATGTCAGGTATGTGCCACCACACCTGGAAAAATTGATATTTTTTCAAACAAAGAGAAAATTTAAATTCCTTCTAAAGTAAAAATCTCTAAATAAAGGGTTAAAGCAATATTCATTTATCCATTTTTTCTGTCTTTTGCTGGAGTTGATTATCACCTTTGGTCTAGGAGCCAAGCCAGGTACCCAGAAATACAAAACGAGTACCTTGTGGGTCTAAGGAGCTCACTGGAAAGGTTCTTGTAGAGAAGATCGTGTAAATTAAAGAAAAAGAGAGCAGTGAACAGAAGAGGGAGTCCAGAGGTGTCACAGAGAAGGTGGTACCACTTGATCTGGCTCTTGAAGGCATGGGAGTGGGGGTGCCAGAGAAGAGTGCAATACTGTTGTTGGTCTGGGCAGAGAAAACAGAAAATGCTGATTTACTTCCCTGATATCAAAGGTCTGACCCCTAAGGTCTGGAAGCCCATGGACCCTCCTGAGGGATTCCCGCACCTCTGTGTTTCTCCACCTCTTAATGCAGGGCCGCATACCCAGCAGACCTCTGAACTGCCCCTACACTGCCAGTCCTCTTTAGTCCTCATGGTTCACTCCGCTGCCCTTTGATGTGAGCCTCAAAACTAATTTGTGTTGGCCACAGTGGCACATGCCTGTAACCTCAGAAACGCAGGAGGCTGGGACAAGAGAATCATAAGTTTGAGACATATCTGGGAGATTTAGACTTCATCAAAATAAAAAGTTTAAGAAAAAGCTGAAGCTCTAGCCCAGTAGTAGCATTGTGAGGCCCCTGGATTCAATCGCTAGCTTAAAAAAAAATAAAAAAGAAAATAGAAAGAAACACTAATTTTATTTTATAACTGACCATTGTAGAAGACAAAAAAAGATGGCTGAGGCCAGCCTTCCACCCTGATTGCTGCACATCACAATCACCTGAGATGTTTTTCAAACGTCCCATTATTGGGATCGTACCTTTAGAGAGTCTAAACTATAAGGGATGATGGAAAACTACAGTAAAGGTTTAGTTGTAAAAATGTGTTATTGGGCTGGGGATTTAGCTCAGTGGCATAAGTGCCTGCCTTACGAGCAGGCAGCTGTGAGTTCGATCCCCGGTACTGATAAAAAGGAAAAAGACAAAAAAAAATTAAATGTGTTATAGCAAAAGACATGTTGCTGAGAAGATGGGTAATTATGTGAAGCAAAGGGGAGGATTCTGAGGGGGATTAATGGCAATGTGTCTTCTACTGTCTTCTACTGTAATAAGTTTTTAAAATTTTAGACTTTCACCTTATTTTCAAATCAAACTGTATTTGCTCTGTATCAGGGCCCATACACTAGCTTCATCAGTGATTCCAGTATTCAAATGCATACATATTCTCCAAACAGACCATTTAAAAGGAGCAACCTGAATTGGGTGGGAAGTAACCCCAAATTCAGCCCTTGAAAAGAATCTCAAACTGAGAATGGTGGAACACAGATGGTTACTCAGAACTTGGAAGGCTGAGGCAGGAGGGTCACTGGGATTTTGAGGCCAGCCTGGGCTATGTAGTGAGTTCAAGATCAGCCAACGGTACATAGCAAGGCCCTGTCTAAAAAAAAAAGTCTCATTATGTGATGTATACAAAGGCACCAAGCGACTCAGCCCACTGAGGAATGTGTTATGGTTACCTTTCACCTTAACTGGCACCAGTGTTCCTTGTTTGTTTCGACACTAACATTGGCTAAGCTACTGTTGCATCATATTCAGTTAGTGAAAAGAAAATTTGCTTGGGAACAAGATTCAGTCATGACTCTTTCATCTCCTAAAACATATTCTCCTACCCACCACTTTTCTTAGAGCCGCTTTCAAGTCTCTGTTCCTCAGGCTGTAGATGCAAGGATTTAGCATGGGGGTCACCACTGTGTACAGCACAGTCGCTGCAGTGTCCTTCTCGGCTGAGTGAGAGGATACAGGGTTGAAATACACAGCAATGATGGTGCCATAGAAGAGAGAGACCACAGCCAGGTGGGAGCCACAGGTGGAGAAGGCTTTCCACCATCCCCTTGTGGAGGGAACCCTCAGGACAGCACAAATGATGCACAGGTAGGAAGCCAGGATGCAGACAAATGGGGCGATCATGATCAGCGCACCCTCTGTAAGGATCATCATTTCATTGAGGTATGTGTCTGAGCAGGAGAGTCTCAGGATCGGGGTCGCATCACAGAAGAAGTGGGGGATCACATTGTCTGCACAGAATGAGAGTCGAGCTATTAGCAGGGTGTGCAAGAGGACATTCAGGTTGGCGACCACCCAAGATCCAGCCACCAACAGGGCACAGAGCTGAGGAGTCATCTTTGCTGTGTAGTGTAAGGGGTGGCAGATGGCAACAAAGCGGTCATAGGCCATCACAGCCAGGAGGAAATTGTCCATGTCCACGAACATGAAAACAAAATACATTTGTGTGAGACAGCCAGAGAAGGAGATGGCCTGGCTGCCAAACATATGATTGGCCAGCACCTTGGGGACAGTGGTGGAGGAGAAGCAGATGTCCACAAAGGACAGGTTGCTGAGGAAGAAGTACATGGGGGTGTGTAGGCGAGAGTCAGTACTGATGGCCAGGATGATGAGCAGGTTCCCCAAGACAGTGGCCAGGTACATGGTGAGGAAGAGCAGGAAGAGGAGCTGCTGCTGTTGGGGCTGCCTGGAGAGGCCCAGGAGGAGGAACTCGGAGATGCTGGACTGGTTTGGGCCTCCCATGCGGCTGGGAGCCTGGGCCCAGGGGCAAAAACAGCTAAATTCCAAAGCTGGGGAGTGATAGTTAAGATAAGACAATTAAGAAGACTGCAGGGTAGGAGGACATGATATTTTAAGTAAGTCAGTAGAGCTTTGCTCCCTGTGGCTGGTGCTCTTTGGGCTTCCATTCCTTGTTAGATAAAGAAGATTGTTTGAGCTTGGTATGGTGGTGCATGCCTGTAATTCCAGCACTCTGGGAAGCTGGAACAGGAGGATCACAAGTTGGAATCCAGCCTGGGAAATTTAGTGACAGTGAGACACCATGTCAAAAATTTAAAATGCAGTCCAGCATGAAGGCCCTGGGTTCAATCTTCAGTACCTAAAATAAAGAAAACTGAGATGCTTTGCTTTGCATACGATAAAAAAAACTCTGAAAGGACACTAGAAAGGTTGGACAGTCAGTTTATCCGCCAATTTTTGTACTGTTTGACCTTTCTATTATTATGTTAAATTTTTAAGAAGTAACTATAGGGGCTGGGGATTTAGTTCAGTGGCATAAGCACCTGCCTTGCAAGTAGGTGGTCGTGAGTTTGATCCCCGGTACCGATTAAAAAAAAAAGGTAATTATAATAAAACACTACAGAAAGAATATTATTCATAGACACTTTAGTGTTTATAATCAGTACCAGAATATATATGTAAATGGTTACCATAGGGACAGACCTCCGAGATTTTACCACTGAGCACCAGTGTCATCAGTATCCTTAAATGCTGTTACCTTGGCAAAAACGTCTCTGCCTCATCTCCAGCCTGGATGCCACACACTTCTGGCTTCTTTCCTCTGATCATGATCAAAGAGTAATTGTGCACAGAGTGATGATATTGCAGCTGCTGTCTATGCTCCTCATCACAGAGCCCTTTACCGAGGTCTGAGCCAGTCCTGTTGACTACATCTAGACCAACTTGTAAAATTTAAAGGGAAGCCATCCAGAAGTATGGGCAGAAACTCAGAGAGTTTGTGTTCCCTACTCTCAGGGTCTCAGATAAAAACAAGGCAAATGCTGGTTGTGCTGGGTTGTCACAAGGGATTGCCCATGATCTTAGGACAATTTTAGTGATGCCACACGATAGACACTGAGGAGTGTCCCTATAAGGGTTCACTCCCAACCAGTGGCTAATAGTGAAGTCCCACTGTCTGATTCTTTTTTTTTTTTTTTTTTTGTCTTTCTCTTTTTTATCAGTACTGGGGATCGAGCTCGACCACACACTTGCAAGGCAGGCGCTTATACCGCTGAGCTAAATCCCCAGCCCCCACTGTCTGATTCTTACCCAGAAAGAAGGCAGTCCTTACTATCCCCGGAAGTCCTCAGCTGGCTTTATTTTATCAGATCTGACCCAAGGCTATTGGTCTAAAAGAGAAGGACTCATCTTTGGGATTTTCAGGCTCAGTCCATGTGAAGGATGCTCATACAGAGACTCAGCCCCTGCTATAAGAAAAATGTGTGGGAGAGTCTAAGGGCCAGCTCTTCACAGGAGACTCCGTGGCCACGAGGGCCATATTCCCTGAGAGCCTCATTAGGGAAAGCAGAGAATAATAATTGTCCCTTCTCCTTGGGTTCTTTGGAATCCAACACTAATAAGAAAGACCTGTCACTGAGTTGCATAACTACCATGCTAGGACTTGGTAATGATGTAAGTTTGTGGATGAACCCTGGCAACAACATCTTGGCCACAGTGGGCTCACAGTCCTGTATTTTTTCCCCTGCTCAAGCTGGGTTGGCTGCTTGTTGAGAGATATGTGCAAAACCAAACAGGGACTAAGAAATAAAGTTCAAGTTCTAACAGACCTATACACAGAGATCCATTGTAACCAGTTGTGCGATCTTGGAAAACATAAACCACCTCTGAATCACAAAATTTCACCCTCTGTGAAGTGGAGAAATAATAGTCACTTTGCAGAGGTGTGATGACTAATGAAACACTTTGTGTTAAACATCTCATGACTCCTGAACTCGTCAATGCCCTGGGCACCTCCACTAGGTGAGACCACAGGTGTTAATCATATTCACGGGCTTGGCTTGAAGAGGAAAATAAAAGGTTAATGTTTTAGCCTGCCTGGCAAGCGTGAGATTGTGAGTTCGACCCCCAATACAAAAAAAAAAAAAAAAATTAACTTTTTAGAGATAAATTTCTGAGCAGCTAGCAGATTTATCTTCTTGTCTTCCATCAATGCCTGTTACATATTTCCCTTATCTAACTAACTACACCCTGACCTTGTATATTATCTCAAGCACTTGCTTCCCACAACTCCGAGCTTACCCTTGTCCTGAACCGGTGTGCTTCCCATAATTCTTGCCTGGAATTCTAACCTGCCTTAGTATGCAATATAAGTAATATAGTTTTATTTTAGGTCAATTAGTAATAATGATACAAGATATAACCAATCAATAACCACCAAATACTCTGCTTCTGTACTTCTTGCTTAAAAACCCTATATACACCCTAGACTACCAGAGATAGGCTCCTGATACTTTGGGATTGAATTCTATCAGAGCCCATTGACATAAATAAATCTGCCTCCAAATCCTGGGTGACATTTCAACGTTTCTGTTTACCGCGGAGGACTTCCTGCTCAGTGATCTGTACTCTGGATAAATATAATTTGGAAGTAGCACTGTATATTTATAATCACATGTTAATAGTTATTCTTATACGGGGCCATATGATAAATCTTTCTATATTTTAATGTTGGGTTAAGTGAGAAATGGAAATCACTGATGTCTATTTATAAAGTGGTAGAACATGAACTCCAAGCAGAAAAAGAGAATTCTTTAATTCAGTGAGTATCATTCTTCAAGAACTTTCCTCTATAACTGTTTTGAAAGCAAGGATATTAGGCGCCTATAAAGCCTTTGCTTTTGTTCATCTTAAGGTTCACTTGCATGAATCGATATTAAAGCATAAAAACCATAGAACTTAGGGCTGGGGATTTAGCTCAGCAGCATAAGTGCCTGCCTGGCAAGTGTGAGGTCCTGAGTTTGATCCCTGGTAAAAAACAAAAAACAAAACAAAACAAAAAACCCCATAGAACTTAAGTTAGAAGTGGCAACTGAATCCTCAGAATAGTGTCCTCCAGAAACCATACATTCCTCTAGCTAATATTTCAACTCAAGTTGCTTATAAACTGTTTTTTGGTGGTGGTGCTTGTTTGTTTGTTTGTTTGTTTGTTTGTTTTGTGATAGGGTCTTGCTATATAGTGCAGGCTACCTGGGCTGTCCTCAAACTGGCAGTGATCTTCCTGCCTGGATCTCCCAACACCACCACACCTAGCAAACTCCTTTTCTGACTGTGGTGGATTATTGTTTTGTATGTTGTTTGTTTGTTTGTACGTTGTTTGTTTTGTATGTTTAGTTAGTTGGTTTTGGTTTTTTGAGACAGGGACTTATTATGTAGTTCAGGAAGGCCTTGAACTCATTATATAGGCTGGTATGGAGCTCAAAGAAATCCTCCTGCCTCAGCGTCTCAAGTGTTGAAATTAGTGCCATGTGCCACCATAACTGGCTTGACTAACACTGGAAAATGGATGGGAAGAGGAAGGAAATAAAAAGAATCAAGGTGTATACCTACTCCCTAAGATGAATGTAAAGATCATGTCCTGAAAACTATACTAATAAAATTTTGAAACTAATGAATAAATTCAGGAAAAAATAAATAACATTCACCTACTCTCAATAATGCAAAATTAAAACCCCAATGTTATAATGAGTCCCTACGTCCCCTTCATATAAGTGGTTAGAAATCAAGTTCTGTTTACTCTAGCTCAAAAAATAGTCCAAAGAGAGGGTTCACTGAGAGTACTTGCCTATCACAGATGGGGCCCTGAGTTCCAGCACTGAAAAAAAAAGCTAAAAAACAAATAACTCACAAAGCCAAATTATGAAAGAATGTAGCAGGGGAAACTAGTCATTGAGTTAATAAAGCTATTATTCTTTTAAATTTTATTTTAAAAGGGAAAAAATTAAACACAACAAAACAGACCAACATAGGACATAAGACAGAACAAAGTGAGGAAGGCGTGTTAGGTCTTCAAAACCAGACAATAGGGAAGTCACTAGTGACTGTCGTAGAGTCTCTTGTTCTCTTCAAAATAGCTGTCCATACTTTCGTGTATATTGAAGTTCAACACAACAAAACAGGCTAAAATAACACCATTAGTTAGAACAAAGCAAAACAGCAATAGAAGTATTTGCCTTCAAAGAGATGGTAGAAGGAAATCCCCCCTATTTGCTACATTGCCTGTGGTCAGCCTCTCAAGGGATGTCCAGATTACTGGGTCCCACTTGCTAACGGGGAGGTGGGGGGAGATGTGATGTTTGATTCTCAGCTGGAGTGCTGGCAGGCTCACAGCCCCTCACCAGGGAGAGATGGGATTGCTTGGTTTCTCAGCACTCCAGGTCCCAGCATGGCGCAGGTCCCTGTAAACACAGGAGTTTGGAGGCTTCGTCCTGGGCCTGCCACACTTACAGCTGCTCACCAGGCAGGGGAGGGGTTGCTTGGTTTCTCCATAAAGACATTATTTGCAAGTGATAGAAAACCAATGCCTGAAAAAAAAATAAAAAAGAAAACCAATGCCTGCCAGTCATGGTGGCACACATCTGTAATCCCAGCACTCAGGAGGCAGGAGGATTACCAAGAGTTTGAGGCCAGCCTGGGCTATACTGAGTTTAAGGCTTGCTGGAGCAACATAGCAAGACACCTGTCTCAAGAACAAAACAAAACATCAGTTCCCATCAGCTCAAGAAGAAATGGAATCTTCTTGGTTTATATAGTTACAAAGCCCAAAGTTTCTTTTTATAAATCTTGAGTGTTTTGCACAGGAATATTCAGTGACCCAAATAATGACATCATGACTATGTGATTTGTCATCTCTGTTTCTTTTGTTTCTTCTTGTTTTCTCTTTTTTTATTCTCTAGACTGTCTCTCTCCACATGGCAACAGATGATCACCAATAGCTCTGAACTCAC